CACTTAACCAAAGTTCTGTAGTTAGGAAAAACAATGACAACTGAGCAAACTGATGAAGACCATGAGATGTGGTCAAAACCCTCAAAGAAAGTTTGCCTTCAGTTGTAATTCTTCATTTAAGTCAAGAATGTGCTTTCACTTCCACTGCCCTAGACCTTACACCTGGCTTAGACATCGGCAATATGTCAGGGTATGGTTAATTTAGAACCATGGCGGGATAGAGTCAAAAAAACATTGTTTGCTAGTAATTGGCGGATGTGAAATGGAGCCACTTACGCCCAGATATGAGGTAGCATTTCAAATCTGAGGCACTGACTTTCCTTGGCCCGCCTTTCTCTTTGGTGGGGTTGCATCCCTTGAAGCCAGAAATGTGTTTTGCGAGTTCCAAACAATGACTGTGAATGAGATTATGTCTGACTGAAATAAAAGCAGTTCAAAACTCTCTCAGGGTAATTTCGAGCACTGAAATACCAAGCTGCTAGCTATCAGCGGGGGATTTCGTGTGTATATGAAAATAGATATGTCATCTTAGCTTTTGTTTGCACCAACAGAAGTGAAAGTACCAGTTCTCACCCCTCAGCTTGCATATGATTCTGCTCTCCACAGGTTCTTCTGCTTCCTCTTGATCCCATGTTGGCAGCCGTGTACCGGCTTGGACCTGCAGCACCTCTGGAAGGGGTCTCATTGTTTGTAGCAGCTGTTTAGTCGGCCTGTCTCAGGAGCTCAGAGAACGGCCAATTATCAGGATTTAGGCTGTTAGGAAACAGCTGAGGTGCAGGCAGCTAAACCGCCTGCCTGTCCAGCCCTGTTGCTGTTACCATGTGTGCAAATGACTCTTGGATGGACTGAGACATGGGATCCAGGGAGCAAATTCACAGGCATTATCCTCCAATAAACAAACAGGGAGATCCACTGCATGTGGCTATGCATGGTGGGCCTGTTTGGATGTTGGAGGCAAATGGAAAAGGATCAGTCTAACCTCTGAACGACAGAAGTGAACATGAGACCTGTTGTGTTGCAGGGCTTTGTGGCGAGACTGTGACTGGGATTATGTCAGTTTACAGCAAAGAGGAAGACATGTTTTGCGCGGCTGGAGTTTGTGTAAGCGCTGTCTCGCCGACAACACGGCATGGCACATGTGCAAGAAACCGCGGCCGATGAAATCATGTGAATGAAAACTTGACACCAGGTATCAAAGCAGAGATTTCCTGCATTCCCTCGCCCCCAAAACACCCATTTCTGTTCCATGTCATGAAAAGTGTGTCTCCCTTTCTGTGAGAGCAGTTTACTCTGGCAACTGAGCAGAGTGTTTCTAAACCATCTACGTTTATCCATTTCCCAATGCTCTCAGGTCAGAACAATGCGCATGCCTTCACAGTTTGTTCTTACAAGCGCAATTGACCCTTTTTGTTTAAAACTGGCATGTGTCACATTTTTCCCCCGTTTCAGACCCTCTCGCAAAACAAAATAGAGATGATGTCCACCTGGAATAACACCCGGCACGTCCTCATTTGGCCAAACACAGCGTTTACTTGCGGTTCCGTGTAAGCATAGCTCTCTCCCTCTTGTTTCTGGTGGTTTCTGAAGAAGTTTATTATGAGAAATGAGGACAGGAAATATTTTTCAACTGCCTTAGGTTAGCCCAACACGGAGGAGACCCAGAAACCACCTTGCAACAGAGCTGCATGCAGAAGAATAGCTAGAAAATGTGGCTTTAATACAATGATGGAATCAAGAAGAAAACACAGACTGTATTGCTCACTTTAAAATGACTGATTTCAGGAAATTATGCATCATGGAAGAGAATATAAGACGACAAAAACGTCTTGTCTGACACAAAAATTGTAATCTAGACGAAAGGAGTTGGGATCTAATTCTTACTTGGGCGAGAACAGCATGGATCAAAAAGTTTTCTTTATTCTGAACATATGTATGAGCAAGACTTTCTACGCATATTAAATGTTTGCAGGAAATCCAGAAACCAGAGCTAATACTGAAATAACACATTGTTCCTCCTTCATTAAAGTAATTCGTTTAGTCAGTAATCTGTGTAAGCACTAATTCTTCTTCAGCGTTAGCTAATGTTTCCTAGTATCATCCAGTGGAAGTTCCCAGTATCATGCAAACTCAAACTGCACTCATCTACAGACGTGCCCTCTGGGAAAATATGCTAATTAGAGGACTGTAATTTGTCTGCAAAGTAATAACGCTTCTCTGACCCTTTGTCTCCCGTGTGATTAGCTCTGGTTCACACAGTGTCCGTGATCTGAGCAGTGGCCCGCATGCATCGCCTCCTCCAACATCCATGAAGTTACTGCTGATCCAAAACAGCCCCGGTCCCAAAATGATTGCAAGGCCGGACCAAGTTTTTAATCAGTCAATTCTTTCAGGAATCTAACAATTAGGCCCAGTGATTTTTCTCATATTTGTGTCCAAGGGCAGGAGTTAGCAAAAGACAAAGTCCTGGCTCTAATGAACGGGGGGCTCCATGGAGCATCCTTCACAGCAAGGTAACTAATTACTTCAGCATGCAATGGGAGTCATATTTCCTCATCAAATGGGAAATGATTTTCAGAACGTCTGCGTTCTTGGATTTCATTCCGTGTGGTTTTGCCCGCTGTCGGTGAAGTTGAGTTTCTGGCGGACTAAATGGCCAAGGTGAAGTCTGGAGTCTGTCAAGTTGCGAGCCGCGCCAAGCGAGAATCTCCACTTGTCCGTCTCCTGCGCCGAGATAACCGTGCAGTTCCACGACTCCTTTCAGATCTGTCAGCAGCACAAGAGAGGAGGCATGGATGAAAAAAATTAAGGGAGAAGCTATAGCATGCAGCATGGAATATCACTTAGTTTTTCAATGGAAAATGTTGCTCAGCGAAGGCGGGGTTTGGCTGGCTGAGTGCAGTGAGGGATGAGATGTCAACTAACCTGATAGGATTATTTCAGGAAGTGTCAGGGTGACACTGAGGTCCCAAGCAACAGATCCACACAAAAACCAGCGGGGCATCTTGTTTGGCCACAGGCCGTGTCCCAATTGGTTCTGACTGACATTGGAACCGCAGGACGCAGGACCTTCCAACACTGGCCGGCATTTACAGCTTGTGGCGTTCGCTGCCACCTGCGTGGGGACAGCTGCTGTCAACATCTTATTCCTGTCTCTCAAATCACTTCATGCAGTCCTGTTTTCTCCTTCAGTATCTTCCTCATTCTGTCTTCCCTGATGAAAGAGGGGTCTTGGCCTCAGGTCTGTGGCAGAGCTCAGGTTCAGGATGAGCGGTGGCATGGTAGAGCCATTAATATACAGGAAAGAGAATGGAGACTGAGCCCTGAGGAAAAGGACACACCTAGGAGGCATGAGACATAAATTCAGCCTTCCCCCGGCCTCCCTCAGATGCTTTCACACTGCACAAAGGCTCGGTTGTCTATTGACGCTATCGTACAGGAACCACAATACCACAAGTGCTCAAATTATATGTACAGACTTCCCTAGGTATCCACATCATGACAGCGGATATAGAAAACCCAAACTTTATGAAATCTTTATTTAAAGCAATTTATCTCTTGCTGCTGCTGCCCTCTTGAACTCCTGAAAGAGAGATTTCGATCCGATCCCTGGTCAGACAAATACAGCGAAACACTCGACATCCTTCTAAAGGTAGCAAAAATACACAGGACATAGCAAACGCTGGGGCCCAAACCACTAATGTGCGGTGTGTGGTTGATGCAGATCACTGCTGTATACATTCAGCTCTTCCAATGGTTTGTCATGATTAGTTTGTTTAGCTCTTAAAACCCACCCCACCCTGTGTGTCATAAACAAACATCTCCTATATTGTGATCAGTGTCGAGCGTTGGCCTGTGGTTAGAATTAAGACTTTAGCCCGGTGACACCAACAAAGGAAAACTAAAATAGCCTAAAAATAACAGTATTTGTATTTTTGTTTAGTTCTTCCCCTCTCCTTTCAAATGATAAACACACTGCACATAATCTAAAGCTGTTCAGAAAGAGAAAAGATTGAGAGAAATGTCTATTATTCTTTCCAGTGTGTAACATTTAGGAGGATCTATTGGCAGAAATGGAATATAATATTCATAGGTATGGCTGTAGATAGTGTCTTTTGTGTTTTATGTGAGTCTTGCAGCCACTGTAGTTCTCCTACACACTTGGAAGGCTGAGTATATTGTATCAAATGGTTACTGCTACACACTAAAGGACCAGTGTGTAGGATTTAGTGTCATCTAACGATGAAGGTGCAGATCGCAGCTAACCCTGCTTCACTCTGCCCTTCCAAGCTTTAGGGGGAAACTACTGTGGCCGTGAAATGTACAAAAAACATCAGCAACCCTACCTAGTGCCAGTGTTTGGTTTGTCTGTTCTGGGCTAAAATGTCTAATCTTTTTTAAAGCTGCACTAATTAATATTTTTTATATTACCTATAAATAAATCTAAATATAATGTTAAAGGAGTTGCTGGTAGTGACAAACCGTCAAAGAATTCTTCTTCTTATTATTATTATTATTGTGTTTTTTAACCATCTTTTAGCTAATTGTTTTGATGTATAGTGGACATATTTACTGTTTTTCTGTTTGTTTCTGAACATTTTCATCAACCTTCTTACCAGTTGCAGTAAACAGCTGTTTTCAGTGAAAAAGCTCTGATAAATCGGTACCTAAAAAACTGTGAACTGTACCTACCCTAATCTACCTGCTCAGCACCTAAATGCAGACAAAGTTAGCAACCAGCCAATGAACACAAAGCATCTGCTAGAGATTAGATTTTTTTCTGAGGAGCTGATGGAGACAAAAACAAAGCTAAAGTTAGGAGTTAATGTTGCACTTACAATCGTCAGGTTAACACAAATATATGCTAATGTTGCTCTGTATCATGTTAGCATTTATAAAGTCACTGCTGTGTTTACAGTTTCTTTCAGTGCCTCCATGTGGCCAAAATAAACAGTTTATGAAAATAAACATTAACAGATTAATAAAACACACACTGCTTTTCATTTCATTCAGAGGTTTATTCATTGCTTTGACCAAGAAACAACTGTTTTTATAAAAGAAATTTTACATGAGAGCAACAAGGAGGAGATATGCATTTGGTCATTGGATTGAAAATCCAGTCTCTTTCAAAACAAACAAAAAGAAATCTCAATTTATATAACTTAACAATAAAAAAACAAACTATGGTCACCACTTTCTTTGTTTTTACAAAGTCTGTAATAATAATTTATAGGCTTTAATACATACCGTTGCTTTCCATTAGTCAGCATGGTTGTGATAGCAGGGCTTGTGCTGGAGAAAGGCATGTACAGTACCAAAGTCTTGGCCGTAGAAACCCCTTTGTTTTACTCGTAGTGTCGTTGTTGGGGAGGGACTGCAGGTAGGACCAACAAAGGCTGCTCTGTTGTCTCTGAAGCCTCCTTCCCTCGCTCTGTCTCTTCCCAGAGAGCGGGTATCGTGTGAGGTGTGAGGGTCGCGAGTGGTCCAGAGGTTCAGAGGTGCGATTAGAAACACAAGGAGCCGGCCCGGCACTACCCCGCAGCTACCCTGCCTGGATCAGGTGTATAAAAAACACATGTGGGAGCCTACAACCCCCACTGAAAAGCAAATACTGCCTGGGGATTGGCTAGTGCGATTGATTTCATTATACTTCCATCGGCACGCTAACAGGAATAATATAGGGTTGTCCTTCATTTCTTTTCCTTCTCTTCACCTTTATGTAAAAACATATTCATCCATAAGTTCTCAATGGAGGCTGTGTGTTTTCTGATTGAAAACCAAGAACTGCAGCTTACAGTTTGCACATTCAAGACACATAAAGAAGGTCAAAAAGTCACTTTGTGCAGCTTCACTCCCTCTCAAAGTCCTTGACTTTAACACAGTCTGGGTTGTCCAAAAAATTAAAACTGCACAATTTATGAAGGAGTGTACATTTTGACACACATAAACAGTACCTTGAAGATATACATAAAATTAAAAAGTCAGCATAGAGAGCCAACTTCAGTTTCTCCCATAAGCCCAACTTGATTTCTCCCACTTTGTGAACTTGGCATCGTTCACCGCAAACGTTTATAACATATGCACCGTACATAAGTACTTTCTATAAAGGAGATTCTTTCCATTGGATGACAAAAGAAGCTCTTAATGCGGTACGGTTAAGTGAAACCAAGTACAAAGTTTTGATCAAAAACAAAACAACCACACATATACAGACTGACAATAACAGATACTTTGAACACTTACTTGGCCGACAAATAGATAATACTGGAATGTATTTTTGAAGACAAACAAAAAAAAAGCTAGGGGTAGAGAGTCAAACTTTTAAGTCTATCCTCTGGCTTCTTGTAAACAGCAATCTGAATGTAATGCTAAACAGCTGAGAGGGCTGAGGATCAAACGGCTGGGTGGGGGGGTGGGGGGGGCAGCTGGTGGTGGCTTTTCTTT